CACAAATTAGAAACTTTGTGCCTGGCCATTTATTTTATGTCACCCATGATACAAACTGCAAGCTCGAAAGAACTGTAAATGAACTACAGTCAAACCTGTGTTAACGACCACCTGTGCAGTGCGGCCACTTGCTCATAGCGACCACCTTAGTACAGTCCCATCGCAATTTACACGTTAACGACACTGGGTATAGCGACCACCTGTCCAACGCGACCAGCGACCACCCTATTGTAGACCTATTCACACTTTAACCTTTGTATAACGACCACCAACATTTCCATCAGACTGTCTCAGCAAAAAGACAATAGCTACTTGCGAATCGCTAACAGGAAAGTGGCCATACGTTACGTTCAGATTACCGAGTACGCAATCTTTAGGGCTAATAGACAGGGGTGACCATTGCAACTTGGTTTGTGAAGTTGCGAAAAAGTAAAAAAAAAAAGTTGAATATCATCTGAATGTAACGTTTGGAGACTGGAAAGATGTAAACAACAAATTAAAACAGTTTCATTCAAAGTTTGAAATGAAAAACTAGCTTGTTTCCGATCGGTACTACCCCCGGTATACTATCGATCCCCAGCCGGCCAGCGGCACTTCTGTGGACTGTCTCGCACATGAAGAGAAATTCCCCCCGTCTCGAAAACAAGAAAAATAAACCAGTTTTATTAAATGAGAGATGTTTTATTTACCTTGTCGACATGAAATATCCAAACAAAATAATAAAACATTCGTTTATTTCGTTTTCATCGCGGGATTGCAAAATCCGACCTATTTTGGCCGCCATGTTGTTTATTGTTGAAAACTGCAAGTCCAATTGCTTTGATATTAAATATATAGGTACTATATGTGGACCTCTCTCACATTTGTTCATTTTGTAATGATATTTTCAATTCTCTAATTTTGGTGAATATTTTTGTCATTTTTGGTAAAAAGTGATATTTTTGACTTCTTGTTAAAAACGACAAGTCTAATTGCTTTAATATTACATATATAGGTACTACATGTGGACCACTCTCAAATTTGTTCATTTCATGATGATGTCATCTTCAATTTTCTAATTTTGATGAATATTTTTGTCATTTTTGGTAAAAAAATTATATTTTCTTGTTAAAAACCACAATCATTTATGGTGATATTTTTGAATTCTTGTTGAAAATATCAAGTCCCATTGCATTGATACTATGCATATTGTTCATTTTCTAATGATATCTTCTGTTCTTTAATTGAAATGTGCATTGCTAACAGCGGAGCTATCTCAGCCGAGAGGCTGCTTGTTAGCTCATATGAGTGATTGTCCGCCGCCTGTGTCAACTTTCTCAACTTTTCTTGAAAAGTACAATTCTTATTGCTTTGATACTTGGTGTATATGTACCATTTAGATTGTAAAAAACTGCAAGTCTGATTGCTTTGATACTATATATAGATATAGATATATAGATAGATAGATATATATATATATATAGATATAGGTACCTCAGGTAGACCTCTCAGATTTGTTCATTTTGTGATGATATCTTTAATTCTCTAATTTTGGTGAATATTTATGTCCTTTTTGGTAAAAAGTGATATTTTCAAATTCTTGTTAAAAACCGCAAGGCTGATTGCTTTTATGTTATACATATAGGTACCTCAGGTAGATCTCTCAAATTTGTTCATTTTGTGATATCTTGTTGCTTGTTTCTATTCAAACACTAAAATATCTGCGTAAAACGGCATATGATTGATGACCAATGGTATGGTAGCCTCTATTTGATCACACACAGTAACCTAGCAACAAGAACCAAACTCTGTTATTGGTATATTTCATACCTGTCATGGGTCAGGGTATTCCACAAGTGATTTCAGGTGGTATAGAAACTTCAAGGCTAAAAACAATTCTCTATTTATTTTGCCAGGTGATGGGGGCATAGGAGTGACATCAATCTCAGTAACATCAATTGCTTCCAGTACTACACCACCGAAACGAAAAGACTCCACATCGAGTAATTCAGTGTGTCAAGTGTGTGGAGACAAGTCGTCAGGTTTTCATTACGGCGTACTTGCATGTGAAGGGTGTAAGGTAAGAATTGTTGTATTCTGAAACTCGCTTAATAACTTTTGGAACAAAATTTTTTCTGACAAATTAACTCTTTTCACACTCACAGCCGTATGATTGTGAAAAGGATTAGAGACTGCACAACAAAGCTCGCGAACCAGATTTTCAATTACGTAATCGGGCGCTTGTTGGGGATTAAAATTAGCGCCAAACCTGGAACCCTTAATGTTTAGCTTCATGTTCACACTTTGGTTCACAAATTTTGGTACGTCTAAAGCTACCTAAATAATGCTCACATCGAGGATCATGTTGCTAAAAAAACTTTTTACTATGGCCAAGCATGACACAGTTTAAAATTATAGCTTGCCTGTGTATGCGTAACCGACGGATCATGGCAGGGGAAAAAGCCATTGCAAAATTATCGATTTTCGGTTAAAACATTAAAGTAGACATTGTTTTGTTGAAGCTAAAAAAGTAAAAACAAATTCCTGAGTTTTCAAAATACACGATCAAGCATTTGTATCGGTCTGTTTTGATATATAGATGTGTTTCCCCTTTTATTTATTTACCTCTTTTTATATAACTGAAAATAAAAAAAATAAAAAACAGTGCACACACAAAAAATATTACTCACTCGCTGAGTCCAGGAGAAATAAAAAGTAGCGGGAAAAAGAGTTGGAAAACCGCCTGATAACTACAATAGAGATCATATTTCTGAAAACGGGACACATTAAATACAAATTTGTTGTCTGAGACTTCTCTCATATGCGAAGTTATGACAATAGTGTCACTAATAGTCAATAATTACATAACATTGATACAAGCTGCTTTGTGATGGC